TCCCTGAGTCAATAATAATCAGAAATGTAGGTTTGTGTACCTAACAATTTTAAGTACAGATTATTTTTATTTTGTGTTTGTGTCTCTCTTTAATGAAATAATTTAAACTCAAGGTTCTTATTACTATTTGGTATACTAAATACTTAATGAACTACGAGTACAAGTGTAGTAAAAAAAAAAAAAAAAAGAAAACACCTACACCTATGTGAGCTTATTAGTTCTTATCTAAATTTCAGTTCATTAGTATAGGAAATAGTTTTAACAAGTAGGAAATTAGTTACTCAGCAATATTCATTTTACCATGAATTAAAAAGATACACATGCTAGAAGTCAGAATGCAGGGAAGCTGTTGTGTGATCTGCTCATAGGGAAGGCACTAAATGTTTTAGTGTTTAGGAAGTTCTACTAATTCTTCTTAACTTCCGTAAGAAGCAAAGAAAACCTAACTTCTCTTACCTCTAAAGTCCATAATCAACTTTAATATCTTATATGATCTACTGATATTTGAAACTGGTATTTCAGCACCATACATCTGACACTACCACCACTATATTACTTGTTTTGTTTATACCGTCTTTCTACTAAGAAGACTAAACTGCTTTTAGATGATGCACAAAACTCAGACATAGAGACCTAAGAGGAAGGTGGACTTACATGAACAAAGTATGTCAATTCTTGAAGATCACTTCAAAAATAACAATGTCAGAAAAATCTGGAACTATTCTATATCTAAGCCATCCTCATGGTGAACGAGAAGGGTCACAAAAAGTGAGCAAGGCAGCACAACCTTACCTGGGAGCAACTATAATCTAGTATTTTTATGTGGGCACTGAGAGCCAGGTCCATGATGTCTACAGGCACATCATCACTATGGGCCAGATTCCACAGGAGGTTCAACACTTTGTGTGCCATCACACCATCTTTATCATCTTCTGCAAGACGACGTATCAGCTCAAGTAGCTTTTCTCGCTGCTTTTTACTTGCATTTGTCCAACTGGCCTAGAAAAATTTTTTTAAATGATATGGAAACAACACAAATTTATTGGTCACTGCTTAAAATTGTCACTGGATAAGCTATATTCATCAGAAAAACAACACAGCTAAGCACAGCATTATTCAAGTGGTATCTGAGCGATAAGACAGGACAGATTTAAATTCCAGGAAAAACAAAAGAATCTCCATTTACAGTTAAATACCGTAGATCAGAGTTTCTCAACCATGGTACTACAAACATTCTGGACTGGAAAACTCTTTTTCCAGTTTTGTGGGGGGCTGTCACGTGCATTGTAGGAAGTTTAACAACACCCCTGGCCTCTACCCCACTAGAAGCCAGTAGCAACTCCTCCTCCTAGCTGTGACAACGAAAAATATCTCCAGGTATTGCCAAGCATCTCTGGGAAGCAGAACAGCCTCCTGTTGAAACTACTGCCTTAGATTCAGTCTGTCATTTGCACCTTTAGAATTATATTAAAAGATGTTAAAGACAACTTGATATACAAAGATTTTCATAATAAATGAAAAAAGCCTTTTATAGAGCAATGTGCATTACACACATTTAAAAACAGAAGTCTGTAACAAAGTCTGTTATTATCCAAGACTTACACAGAACAGAAATGATACAATGCTATTTCAATTTAGAAGACAGAATACTCATTTAAAAACTCTAAAATGGAAAAACAAAAAACAAAAAAACAAACCCTCTCTAAAATGGTACTTTTTAAATGCCCAGTTTATACAATGGGGTATGTGTGCAGGCTGGTGGCATCTGGTGGGTAGAGGTCAGGGATGTTGCTAAACAACATGAGAAAAGGTATATGTATAAAGTTGATAATCAGTGTTTATTGGAAAATAAACTGAAATCAACCTAATGGCAAATAGCAGAAGGATGATTAAGTAAATTATAGAGGATCCTTTCAATGGAATTATTACTCAGACATTTACAATGTGATAAATACAGGGTATGTCATAAGTCAACTGGAGTGCATACTTCTAATTCCTCCTAGACCCCTTAAAATTATGAAAGGAATAAGAGAAAGCTTCTAGGAATATAAGAAAAGACTGAAATATTAGACTGTATGTGGCACATATATACAATGGAATAATACTCAGCCATAAAAAGAAACGAAATTGCTATTTGTAATGAGGTGGATAGACCTAGAGTCTGTCATACAGAGTGAAGTAAGTCAGAAAGAGAAGGACAAATACCGTATGCTAACACATATATATGGAATTTAAGAAAAAAAAATGTTATGAAGAACCTAGGGGTAAAACAGGAATAAAGACACAGACCTACTGGAGAACAGACTTGAGGATATGGGGAGGGGGAAGGGTGAGCTGTGATAGGGCGAGAGAGAGACATGGACATATATATACTAACAAACGTAAGGTAGATAGCCAGTGGGAAGCAGCCGCATGGCACAGGGATACCGGCTCGGTTCTTTGTGGCTGCCTGGAGGGGTGGGATAGGGAGGGTGGGAGGGAGGGAGACAAAGAGGGAAGAGATATGGGAACATATGTATAACTGATTCACTCTGTTATAAAGCAGAAACTAACACCATTGTAAAGCAATTATACCCCAATAAAGATTTAAAAAAAAAAACATTTTAAAGAGAGAGACCAGCAAGCATTATGTGCCTCCTAAAGAAGAGCTCATCACCACCTATGATATATTCTAGCAAAACAACAACAAAAAAGGCTCTGTATCATACTTTTGATATACAGCAAAGCAATAATCAATCCAGTTTCCTCAACAAATAATTTACAAGGAAAAAGTAAAGACAAAGGGGGGAACTGTAGGTTCAAAGAGACTTAAAAGACATATGCAACTGATTACAAACTATGGAGCCTAGCTCAAGCAAACTCCAAAAATAAGGTATAATCTGAGGCAACTGAAGTTTCATCACTGTTTGAGAATATTAAGGAATTATTAGTTTTTGGGTATGATAACGATGTTGTGAAGTTTTTCTTTATGTACTTATCTCTAACAGACATATACTAGAGTCATTAAATATGAAAAGAAGAATCCATTAAGAACATTTGTTCAGGGCTTCCCTGGTGGCGAAGTGGTTAAGAATCCACCTGCTAATGCAGGGGACACGGGTTCAAGCCCTCGTCCGGGAAGATCCCACATGCCATGGAGCAACTAAGCCCGTGCACCACAACTCCTGAGCCTGCGCTCTAGAGCCCGCGAGCCACAACTACTGAGCCCACGTGCCACAACTACTGAAGCCTGCACGCCTAGAGCCCATGCTCCACAACAAGAGAAGCCACCACAATGAGAAGCCCGCGCACCACAATGAAGAGTAGCCCCCACTTGCCACAACTAGAGAAAGCCCGCGCACAGCAACAAAGACCCAACGCAGCCAAATAAATAAATAAAAAGCCCTTCCTTAAAAAAATAAAGAACATTTGTTCATCCAAAGCCACCATAAGGTGAGTAAAAAAAAAAACAACCACAATTTGCAACACCTGAACTGATAAAGATGACTAGCATTCAGAATATGTCTAGAATTCCTAAGAACCAATAAGTACAAACAACTCAAAAGGGAAAAATTGGGCAAAAGACTTGAACAGGCTTTTCACACACACACAAAAGGAGAATAGAAACATATGAAAAGATGTTCAACTTCATTAGTGATCAAGGATATAAAAACCAATACGACAATGAAGTAACATTTCATACCAAACAGACTGTCAAAACTCCCAAATTCTGACAAAAACAAGTGCTGGCAAGGATGTGAAAATCTCAATGGGACTGTAAACTGGTATAACCACTTTGAAGAACAAAGACGTAATTAGAACTCAAACACTGAAAAACTAGACCAGCTAGACCAGACAAGTACATAAGTCTAATCAATAAGCTTTGAAATCATTTGGTTGCACTCTATAAAGAACTGCAAAGTGACCTGGACTTCATGCTTCTTTTGAACCATCCTTAGTAGAAAGTTTCAAGACACACTCCATAAGAACGTCAGTTTTACCAACACCTCAAAAAACAGTGCTTGTTACCAAATAGTAAGCGCTCAATAAACATCTATTAATCCAAAGGGGGGGAGCACAGAAGATGGAATTATTTTTATATTTAGACTATTATTGTATTTAGACCACTCTTAGAAGAGGGGGTGGAGGGTCCAGAGAATGTAATAACAATCAACCTCTTCTTTCTCCTCCCATCATGGCCATCACTGGTCATGTACCATCATTTCATAAGTCATCTCAAAATTAAAAATGATGGCAATTAACTTTAGAGTACCCCACCGTAACTGATTCTGTTATTTCCTTAGCTGCCTTTGTTGTACTTCAAACTTAATTTTTCCATAAGGCAGTGATTTACAACTTTAATGTACTTAAGATTCATCTGAGAATCTTGCTTAAAATACAGACTCCCAGGCCCCATTCCTAGCAACTCAGAGTTAATTGGTCTTAGGTAGAAGCCAGTAATTGGCATTATTTTTGATTCAATTGTGAAATACACATCAAGAAAGGTACAAACATACACATTATACTACATAATGTAAACACCTATGTAACTATTACCCAGGACAAATATAATATGGTAAGCAGCACTCCAGAAGCTAGCTGGGTCTATTTCTGACGTTTATGTTAATGCAATCAAGGTATATGAAATTCTTGTGTGCCTTCATTCCTTTCTTCAACCTTCTCTTTATTAGACTCACCCTTGTGGTTGAGCTGCTCAAATCTGCTCATTCTCATTGGTATGTTTCATTATATGAACATTCCACAATTTATCCATCTTACATAGCAATTTTTAGCTATTATAAATAATTCTGCCACAAATGTTGATTGTGTATACTGGTGTACATATGCATGAATTTCTCTATAGTATATACTCAGAAGTCAAACCGATTAAGTCATGAAAATCTTACACTTTTCCAGAAACACCAAACTATTTTCCTAAGTGGTTGTAGGAACTTATGTTCCCACCAGCAGTCAGTATAACTGTTAAAACTTATTTTTAACAAGATACCTTCATGATCTAATGCCAGTTGTTAACAGAATGCCCCTCTGTGAACACTGCCATAACATCTGTGCTCTTAATCCACAAATTCACCAAACACTTGGCTTTTACAAACCCAGCACTAGTAACTGGAGAGAGACCACTACACAATATGGCTTTAAAAAGTGCATGATGGCACCAATGCAGATATGACTGTAGGAGCTCTTGGGCTACCTTTTGAATTACATTTCCATTAAGTCCATGAATTACATTTCCAATTCGCCTGTGCATATCACCCCAGACTATAAAGGTATTGGTAGTCCTTGCTGTTGATTCTTTATTTTTCATTGCAACCAATTAATCCTTCCCTGCAGTCCTACAGTTCACTTGAACCTATAATAAAAACACAAACTGCTAGGGGAAAGGAATCCAAATTGACAACTGAATTAAAAAAAAAGAAAAATCCTTATTTATGAGGACTATTATTATAAAAATGAACATCAAGATCTCACTGAAAAAGAAAACAATGGTCAATTCCTTTACACTAGAAACTAATGATTTCCATTTAAGTACTTACTGGGTAAGAACCATTCACAGATTTAATGAATTAATTCTATTAAAAATGAAACTGTACTACTATATTAACTATTACCTTAAAGCAATCAAAAAGATGATCAAGTTGCTCAGGAGAAAAATCCCATGCCAACTTTGCCAGTAGATCATGTACATTCTTCACAATGGCTTCATGCTTCCCCGCCTATTGAAAAACCAAAGAAAATGAGAACATACTAAAATTTGAACAGCAGTAAGTAGCATACACTGTCTGTGGAAAACTATTAATAAAGTATTCCCATCTCCAACTAACTGTGTAACCTAAGAAAATTCCTAATATTTTACATGTTTTAGAACTGCCATCTAAAACCTGACAACTCAATTTCTTGACATACATGGTTAATATAGACTTTAGGAATTCGTGTGAACTTTTATTACAGTTTATTGAATTTAACATGCCAGTTCTAACATTGCAAATAGGAGAATAAGGCCCACCAGTGGTACTGTTTCAAAACTGGAACCTTAAGCACTCAAAGGCAAAACTGAATGCTTTCTTGGTTTCTAACAAAGCTTTGTAATCTAGAACTCATCAATACTTCCTAAGTGATCCATGAATAGAAACTTGTCATTAAGTTAATCAAAGGAATCACACAGTTTCTATCTCTAAGACCAAAGATCACTTATCCTTCTAAAAGCTATTAATCTTTCGCATTATTACAGGTTTTTATAAATAATCTAGTGATTTAACTTTCCTGACATCGGAGTTCTTTGTTTTAAGTATATGAAGAAACCAATTATGGATGTCTTATACTCTTTCAATAGACATTTCTTATTATTTTACGTTTGCCTCTTATTTAAAACCTACAAATTGTCAACCTTTACCAAATACATACAGTAGATGTTGGAATACTTTTTATTTTAAAAATATTACTGGCCATCTCAAAAGGATTCTTGACAGGACTTCTGTAAACAATAAGCATTTACCTATACTGAAAGTCAAACAGTATAAGTCTTCATCCCTTTTAACTACAACTACTACCATTTCTTTAGTAGTACATTTCTTTTACAAACCAAAGAGCCACCATCTTAAATTCCTTACCTGCGCTGCCCAGATATTATCAAGATCTTGTAAGGTCAGGGCCTTTTCTTTGATGACAAAACGAAGAATCTTCTCTAGCTTTTCTACATACTGTGGTTGATGAAGACTATCTCGCAAGACTATGGATAAAATATTGTTCTGCTGTATCCACTCCTAAATAGAATTCAAACATTTGTTTCAAAGCTTCTAAAAATATATACATAAAGTATTGTTCACACTTTTAGCTTCCAGGGTTTTTTTCTGTTTCTTTCTTTTTTTTTTTAGTTGCAGCAGGCATGTGGGATTTAGTTCCCCAACCAGGGATCGAACCCGGGCCCCCCTGAATTGGGAGCGCAGTCTTGCCCCATGAACCACCAGGGAAGTCCCTGTTCACACTTTTAAACATTAGTAGGAATTTAAAAACTCAAAATATGGGCTTCCCTGGTGGCGCAGTGCTTGAGAGTCCACCTGCCGATGCAGGGGACACGGGTTCGTGCCCTGGTCCGGGAGGATCCCACATGCCGCAGAGCGGCTGGGCCTGTGAGCCACGGCCGCTGAGCCTGCACGTCTGGAGCCTGTGCCCTGCAACAGGAGAGGCCACAGCAGTGAGAGGCCCATGTAGTGCAAAAAAACAAAAACAAAACAAAACAACTCAAAATATAATGCACTAATGTAACATGGTTATGTGTTCTTTTGATACAAAATTATGAAAAAAATCACAATAATTTCATGGAACTTAATTTTGCACATACAGAAATGTTTCCATGAATTAGAAACAGTGAAATCATTAAAAAGATTTTACTCCAGCATTTACTCAGAAAATTATTATTTAAATGTAGCAATCAGGTTTCCCTGGTGGCGCAGTTGTTAAGAATCCGCTTGCCAATGCAGGGGACATGGGTTCGTGCCCTGGTCTGGGAAGATCCCACATGCCGCAGAGCAACTAAGCCCGTGTGCCACAACTACTGAGCCTGTGCTCCAGAGCCCGTGAGCCACAAGTACTGAAGCCTGCACACCTACAGCCGGTGCTCCGCAACGAGAAGCCACCGCAATGAGTAGCCCCCGCTCGCCACAACTAGAGAAAGCCCGTGCACAGCAACGAAGACCCAACGCAGCCAAAAATAAATAAATGTAGCGATCACCATGGTTTAGGTATGGTGGGTTATAGGACTTATTTTAGGATCTTTAGATTCTTTTATACCAGTTTTGATTTGGGTGAAAAGGTACTTTTTACTTTTATTAACCAATTACACTATTATTCCTTATCCATTAGCTTTTTAATCTTTTCAACAATCCTAATGAGGGCTGTATTACCCTATTACAGAAAAGTAAACAGGCTCAGAAGTGTTGGAACTAGAATCTGAATCAAGGCTGAAAGCTACCAAAGTCTGTGCTTCTCTAACACTATGCTATATTGCTTGACAGGTATTTAATTAATATTTAAGTCAACAAAAGAAAACTAACTCATGATACAAGACAAAGGTAACAGTCCACACTGTATGATTTTACACTATTCAATTTAATGAGAATAAAAAGTATTTAGTCCCAAAATGTGCTAGAGAAAAGAATTACACTTCTCAGCTGGTAAAGGCCCTTTTTTACTTCTAATCTATTACAGACAGATATTTTTATAGAATACAACTAAAATGTGGCAATATGAAATTGCTACAGAAGTTTCTAAACACTCAATGCCATCTGCCATATTCATCTAGCCTTGGCAACAGCTCAAGGACCAGAACCAGACCTCAGACCACACTGAGTAGCTCTGTGCTCGACTTTCCACAAGGTGAACAGACAAATCAGATACACAAAACTAGATGTCTACCACCTGACCCCCTAACACAGGGCCAATGTGTCTAGGCATCCTCCACATACCTTTTATCACATTCTAATCACTGTTTTCCCTATTAAACTGAGGCCTCCTTGAGGTCAAGGACAGTTCTTTTACAGATGTCTCCTCAGTACTATCAGACAGTATGCACTAAAGTTATTCAACCAATATTTAAGTAGCATTCTTATTCATTTCTAAACTATAATATATGCAAATTATCTAGGGTAAAGTTTCCTCAACTTTCAGCATCAAAATGATGTAAATATAAGTGCTTAAGCAAAGTCCTTACAATGATGACAAAACATTAACTCATGTGTATCTTATTCTAATAATTCTATTTCCTATTTTAAAATCTTTAAGTGGAATTCGTCAAATGAATAGGCCACTTCATTCAATAGCTACCAGATACTACCCAATCTATTTCCCAAATCACCTTTATTTACTCAATTTCAACCCCCCACCCGATAAGCTAATAATTACTTCAGAACACCTACATTCAGCAGTAAGCTTATCAAAGATGTGCTAAGCTATCCATTATGATCAAACAATTATATATCACCAAATATACCAAATAATAAACCATGTTATCACAAAAAGTTCTCAGGATTAACAGAGTTGTAGATCAATCCAAACACCTCCCAATTTCAAAGTTTACTTTAAAATGTTAACATTACTAACTTTAAGTAGAGCTATTCTGATTTTTGCCTTAGATAGATTCTTATTCATGAAAGTAAAATCAAAGGACTTACTGCCATTCGTTCAGCTGTGAGCCATTCTTCCTCCTCAGGGTTACCATGCCGATGAGTGTAGTATGATACACTAGATATCACCTTATTAACTTCATTAAGTGCATTCATCTTTCCATTAAAAGAAGAAATCTGCAATAATCTGTAAGAGAAATTCAGCGTTAAATACGATTCTAAACATTCACATAAATAATTATTTCAAGAGGTAAATATCTTACCTAAGTATCATTTTTAACCTAAATATTTCTAAATTTTTTACAGTTTCTTCTTGTCCTGGAACCCTTGAAGCTAAATTTTTCAAAGATTTAATAATCATTGAAAGAGCATCATTTTTGGCTTCATTCTTTGCTTCTTTTTTCAGTTCTTCATCAGTTAAGTTTTCTAAAAACTGTGGAACCATTTCTATTACTGGAAGGAAGTACTTTTTCACCGTATGAAGAGTGAGAAACTCATAGCATTGTCCAAATGGTCTGAAACAAGAGAGACAAAAATCTCTTTTAATATTCAATTTCTTACAATTCAACTAGGACTGAACTCAGACTGTACCTATTACTTTAAAACAATCCGGGGACTTCCCTGGTGGTCCAGTGGTTAAGACTCCACACTCCCAATGCAGGGGGTGCGGGTTCAATCCCTGATTGGGGAACTAGATCCTGCATGCTGCAACTAAGAGCCCGCATGCTGCAACCAAAGATCCCGCGTGCCGCAACAAAGACCCGGCAGAGCCAAATAAATATTTTTAAAAAATAAAAAAATTTAAAAAAAAACAGAGTAATTTCCTTTAAAAAATAAAAAATCCAAGTTACCAGCTAAAGAGAAGAAACCACATTTGAAAAAAGCAACAATTTTTATCAAGCAAGTAAGTAGCAATTTCTATAATGCACTGAAGATTAATTTTAAAACATAACTTACTTAATAAGGGCTGCAATTATTTGAACATTTAATGCTGATCCATTAATAAAACGATCATGCAAAATCTGAAACCCATTTAAAGTGCCGAATTTGTTGAGAAGATCCACGAGCCAACCCTGCAACAATACAGTTAATAAAAAAGTTAACTTCCTGCTTTTGGGGGGTGGAAAATGCTATCTGAAATAATTTCTTGATTGAAACATAATAGAAACAGGAAATTCAATAAAATTATTATGTAAAACCATCTTTGAAAAAAGACACGGAATATTGCATATTGTTCACAGTAATCCTGTCTGTGAGAAAAGCATTAGTATAGATCACTAGGGCACAGCTGTTTGTTTGTAACGATATAGCTGGTGAACAGGAATTAGAAGCCACGCTTCTATCTCAGAGATTCCACCATAGGAGAATACCTTATTATCTGAAGGTCTATTTTAAAAAATGTAAGGGGGTAAAAAGACTCTTTAAAAAAAAAAAAAAAGATATTTGGTAACCTAAGATATTGTTTGAATTTATTTTTTGTTGTAGTTGTGAATAACTACAAACACCCTAAAACTACAATAATCTTAAAGCCAAAGAAAAATTAATCCCTGGTATTCTATTTTTTGTTCCAACTAGAACATGCTGGTTGATGCTTTGTTTTGACTCATGTGAATACACCCAGTTCTCATCTTAGAGGTACCACAATACAATAGTGAGAATTATCTTTCAACCTCTTCTCTAAGGGATAGCAAGTAACTCACAAGTACAGTGCAGCTGGGATAGGCAAATTAAAAAGGAATCAAAAGCTTATACAGATAAAACAATCAAATGTATCTAAAAAGTCATGTACTTAAGACAACGTTTAAGTCCTTGCCTTCTTCTAAAAGGCCACATTTTGGAAGTCACTGAGGGAAGAAAAACAAGAGGGGGAAAAAGGGGCACTTTCTCTACTTAAGTCTTAAGCAAAAATAATTTCTACAGCTATTCAAAAACAAACAAAAAGCAGTGTTCAGGACAAAGGGAAAACGCTAAGTAAAAGGTAACTGCTTTAAACAGACACTATGGTAGTTTTGATACGATTTTTATGAGACTCTAAATCAATTAAATTCTCAAATAAATCTACCATCTATTTCTATGTAAGTTCATTATAATGTTTTCCTTTTTATTTGGCCTTAAAAGGCTAAATCAAAACAATTAAAACTCTGACTCTTACAAAGAAATCTGTTGAGATAAAGTCAGATACAAAAGAATTTATGTCAATTTAATTTTCATAAGGTATTTTAAATAGACAAAACGAAACTACAGGGATTATGGACATGTGCTTGAGTCCAGCTATAAAGAAAAGCAAGGAAATTATTTTATTAGTTAGGACATTACTTAACGTTAGGAAGGCCAGAGGAGGCAATGATTGGGAGGGAGTGTGGAAGGGGTCCTCCAGGGAGTGACAATGTACTATTTCTTGACCTGAGTGGGTTACATGGATGCTCATTTTGCAATAAATCATTAAGCTATTTAAAAAAAAAATTAAAAATCTGAGCATTTAATTCACCAGGTCCCTTTTGGCATTCAGCAATTCTAAGAAAGTACATACTTATTATGTAATGTATTTTTATTTCTCCAGTAACTGAAATAATTAGGCTGATATACTCAACAGTTATGCATATATAACACAGTATATATATGTGCACAAAGAATCAGTCTAAAGCTAATCTCATATGTTTTCAGCTGCAATGTACACTTACGCAATTAGGAATACTCAAAAATTAATAATACTCAAGAAAAGCTAGGCTTCAAAGAAAGATATTTAAAAATGTCTTCAACCAGAAGCCATCCTAAATCAACTTGTTCCCTTTGAGACTCTTACAGATTACTACTGACCTACAGAGCAAAAAGTTAGGTAAAATTAAAAAAAAATACAGGTATATTTTAGAGATTGCCATTATTTAAATATTAATTTGATTTACTCAAACAAAAAAAGCCTGAAGTGGCAACAACAGGAACCTTGGGAAATAGCAGAAACTCTCAGCTCGAAGTTCAATAAGTTTTGATGATTTCCACTTTTAACAGAATAAACCAAACTATATATATATATATATATATATATATATATGTTCAAATTTTCCTTTTTTTAAAAAATAAGGTCATCAATATTTAAAAAGTCTTCCTAAATTCTAAAGTTTAAAAATTATATATGGTTAATTATTTAATATTAATTAAAAGAAGTACAGCTTAGGGATGCATTTTTTAATGTACATTCTGTTTATGCTAGCATAGAAAATTTACATTGGAGAACTTTTACGTTTATGTATACTATATATATTTCATTGATATTTGTAAGTTTTGCTATTTTGCTTTCATTTGTAATTTCTATAGTTCTATGACACATTAGCCAGGCCTTGGTCAAAGAAGTAATCTCCTACTCTACTCTTATTTAAAAGGAAAAATATGCTCTGTTTCATACCAACCCAAATTATGACTATTTCCCAAGAGGCTGGGCAGAAGACAATGGGGACTAACTACATGGAGAAAGCCAAAAATATTTTTAAATTAAAAAAAAAATTACAAAATAATGCAAAATCCCTTTAAGAGCAATGTGAAATTACCCTCCTCCATGTTAACGGTAGGTTCAGATCATTTAAAGTTCTACAGCAGAGCAAAACAACTGTAATATTTAACTTTGAAAATAACAAACCAACACACTTTTGGTGATCGAGGGTCTGGAGAACGAGCAAAGAGTTCATCTTCAGGCAACTGAACATTTGAGGAAACGGATTCACATGGACGTGTACCATTGTAGATATGGAATTTGCAATGAGGATTTAAGGCCATGGAGAGAAGTTCTAGAAGTGGAAACCAGTCTTGGGACAACTTGGCCACACATAGCTCCACCAGGTGTGGGATCTTCACGGACCGGGGCACGAACCCGTGTCCCCTGCATCGGCAGGCGGACTCTCAACCACTGCGCCACCAGGGAAGCCCTTGATTAATTATATCTTAATAATGACCTCTCAATTGTGCTATACCGATCATTTGAGTTATGTTTAATTTTACTAATATTGGGATCAAATTTATATATCAAAAAAGAAATTAGCATTTACTTTATAATTTATATAGTACCTAATTTCAAAAGCTATTTGCAATGACTTACAAAATGAAGTAGGCACTGCTCTATGTCCCCAGACAAGATGCAAATTACCACTGCTTTCTCTATGCAATTTTCCGACTAGAGGCAACAATTCTAAAATCTAAACAATGTATCATCAAATATCCCAGGTGGAGTAGGTTTGCTATCTACGCCTCAATGCAAAAGTCTGATACCACTCCCAAACTTTCCATTCTATACTTAAAAACTTACACGTTGAATTAGAAGATGCTGGTATCTTTATGCTATGGTTATATTTGAGAAATAGTTCACAGGGCATAAAAATATGCTCTGCTTCATAATTTATAACCATATTTCCATATTATAAACAAGAACAGAGACTTGGAGTAATTATGGTACTTCAATCTAAAAATGCACATTTCTTATCACTTTTTAAGATCTCTGGAATCTGACTATCACATAATCAATGCATAGTGCATTTACCTAGACTGAAGGTATTTGTAGAGATTTGTCTTGGTTTCTGCCAGTCATCTGGGGACACCACCAACCTGAGACCACTTTAAGTTCCCCATTTGATATTTTTTGTATCACAACTCTGATTTGAATTCAGGCTTCAAAACTGTTTGAATACGAGCTTGTGGTTTAAGTTAAGAGATTTTTTTCCCCCTCTACCAGGTGCCAAAGTTGAAATGTGCAGGTTTCTTTGGTGTTTCTTTCTGTATGTTAAGTTTATTTCTCTTCATTGACCCTTTGTGTCTCAGATAACAGATTCCCCATCTTGGGTGTTTTCCTTCCTCAGTGGTACATAAAGTGAGTGAGTGGTGCATTTCACAACTGTCATATTTTCAGTGAAATATGGTCACTTGTCAAAAGTCACAAGGCACTTGAGAACCAAGGAGACAGATTAAACCAATGTTTTCTAACTCTGAATCTCACATTCATTCTAAATGATCATGCTTCTTTCAACAGAAATTATAACTAATAAATTTTTAAAGTTTCTCATTTTAAAATCCTTTAATTAATGGATCAAATATATAACCAAATATACTATATAAGAAAACACACTCATCACTATATAAATCTGATTTTCAAAATTTAAATGAAAGACTCACATGAATTTCAAACTTCCAGCCACTCACTGCCTCGTCTGTAAGGATTTTAGTGAAAGATATTGTTAGCCCATCGCGAAAAAATCGCTGACATGCTTCACTTTTAACATCAAGGCCTAAGAAGAGGAGAGAAAAATTAATGTAAACAAAATATTTCTCTGGTTGTCTTACAATGTCCAATTATAAGATAAAAATAATTGTAAAATATTCAGTAACAGCTAACAAATGCCGACTAGATTTGGAAAAAAACTCACAGCGTTACATATAAGAGGTCAAAAAGGTAACAGATTCAGAAACAAAAATAATCTTCAATGAATTTCAAAAATACTTAACTGTATAAGAGTACATTAATCCAAGTAATATTAAGATGAATCAAAACTATTTCAAATTATGACACTGGACTGACCTTAAATACAAAATGGTTATGAGTACCATGTGATAGGGGATTTAAATACTTCACAGTATTTTACTCTCTGACAACAAATCTTAAAATTTTTAAAATGACGTTTCTCGGGGACTTCCCTGGTGGCGCAGTGGTTAAGAATCCGCCTGCCAATGCTGGGGACACGGGTACAAGCCCTGGTCCGGAAAGATCCCACATGCCACAGAGCACTTAAGCTTGTGTGCCACAACTACTGAGCCCGTGCTCTAAAGCCCGCGAGCCACAACTACCGAGCCCGCGCACCTAGAGCCTGTGCTCCGCAACAAGAGGAGCCAACCCAATGAGAAGCCCACACACTGCAATGAAGAGTAGCCCTGGCTTGCCGCAACTAGAGAAAGCCCACGCGCAGCAATGAAGACCCAACGCAGACAAAAATAAATAAATTTTTTTAAAAAAATGACGTTTCTTAACTATTTTTAAAATCTCATTTTGTTTGTACATTATCCATTTGACATCAAATACTGTTCTACTATTCTACAGAAGAGTTTCATCGATTAAAGATAAATTATCATCTTCCGTATTAGTCTCTTCCACTGGCTCAACATCTATGCTTCTTTATATCTTTCTTTTAATTTCGCCTGATTTCAGAAAGGCAACAGAGCTACATGCCCCCAGACACACAAAATAATCTTTAACTCTTGATGACAAAATGAAAAGCCATTCAGTTTGAACATACGAGTATTATTCGATTTTGGCTGTACAACAGACATGACATTTAAGCCCAGTACTGTACTTTAACAAATCTGAACCTTGCTTAAAATTAAAATAAACCACGGTCCCAAAGAAATATGGGGAGGAGGAGGGGATTGCATTTCCAATGAATGTCAATGATGTTAAATGAAATACCATTGTGTGTTTTTACCTATCACTGTACAGTCAGGACCTAAAAAATGTCTAGGACAGAAGTCTTCAAAAATCTGCTGAATTGATGAATAAATGTGTAAATGAACAAAAGAAATCTGAGTGGTGAAAACAATGGTTATCTGATAATGCATTTTCATAGTTTATTAGATTGGTTTTCTAAGATTAGTAAGGTGTAACGACACGTTCCTTAAATGAAGGAGGGTAATTACTCTAAGACAAAGGAAATTTTACCCTTGCCGTGGAATGAGACACTTAAGCAAGCTACTGAAGACAATAGTTTTTACAACATTTAATTTCAATTGTGATGATTCCTATTGATAATTAGAACACATCCATGGCTACCCTATTTCAGAAATTGAAATGTTATTGCTGTTTATTTTAATCTCCAATGCCTTAAAAATGAGTAGATATTACAATAGTAGCCCTTTGCTAAGAGAACTCAATTGCACCTAAAGAAAACTAGTCACTGAAAAAAATAATGATTAATTCCAAAATTAAGCTTTTACTTCTAGACAAGAATAACAGCATGACTCCTTTTAATTGGGTTATTTTTTTAAAAAAAACACAGGACCTCATCTTTCAGGTCTTTTTTTCTTTTGGAGAAAATCCAAACCTTTTTCTGTGTATTAAAGAATAATCAACACATAAGCTAAACAGTTTAAATATGAATATATACAAATTTTACGTATAACTTCAGAGAGTTCACAAACATCCTTGAAGGCTGTCCGAAGGATATGAGCCCTTGCTCTAGGGACAAATCATAAGCCATAGCAAGAAAACTTAGTTAAATGTTCTAGTCTAGGAATACACAGAAAAAGTCTTCAGGCATGAAGTGAAACTATTAGCTAGTAGCATACATTATGGAAAGCATAAGACCATTTAAACTTACCTTTTTTACTAAGATCAATAGCAGCTTCTAAAAGCACTTCTAATTCCCCTTTCGGCAAAACTGGAACCACCCATCGAGGCCTAAGAGTTTTAATAATATAAAAAGATGTTTATTGGTTGAACACTGAACGAGGCACTATGAGTTACTAATTACAATTACTCACTTAGCGCACCATGAAAATATTAAAATGAAACTAAAATATTAAAACCACAAGGTTGGCAGAACATCTGCTTTGTGGGACTAAGCAAACAGCTGTTGTCTCTACAAACAAAATTGTTTTAAGGAACTGTCAAACAAAAGATATAGCAATGAGAGAAGGGAAAATAAAATTATTTTAATAACACATACTATAAAACTACTATAATAATCAAGTATCACTAGCATATAAAACTACTATAATAATCAAGTATCACTTAAATGGATACCTATTGTTAGAGTTCATAGGAAAGTGCTCTTTCAGGATTCAGGTTAAAGGAGACATGATGAACCTCTTAGTTGTCCATCCACTTCCTCACAAAGAAGAAAAAATCTAGGTGGTAAATGACTAATTTCTGCCTCATCAACTTTTCCTGAAGGTTAAGTTAGACGTAGGTCTCCAAGTCTTTATGCCTCCACAGGCACCCTCCTCCCTCAAACAACGATGCAGCATACACCCAGGTGGTGCTTTCTCTGCTCCCAGTGCCAGCGGCCCAACCATCTGGGAGTCCATCCTCTTCCTACCCCTTCATCCCTCACTACCACCCAACTTACCCAGTGCTCCAAAAAACCCCATTTTGATAAAAAGTGCTCCATGACCACATAATCTATTAGAAACCAATGTATACCACCCTTTCTCATTGTTTTTATTTACATAAAAAAACATCACTTGTGTTTCTCTCCCCCTGCAGATTTGCTAACATGCAACTTTGCCCTTGAGTGAGCGTAAGAAGTACACTTTATCATCAGCAACCACCAGACAAAAATTGAAAAGTAACAGCACAACTTTTTGCTATGATAACTCTGCTACAAAGAATGGGCAGGGACATTACAACTTTATACAACTGTTTGTACTAATTCATTATATACCATTACTACAGGCATCTGCCAAAAGAATCACATTTAATGTGTTCTTTCAAATATACCTTTAAAAACAATGAGTTAAATATATATTAATAGGAAAAATATTTAAAATAAATGAAGTGAGCAAAACAAGTTATAAAATGATATTATAGTAAGAATTCCATATTTGTACAGAAAGCAGCACATATGATAATAAACACAAAGACAACCTGGAAGAATGTACACCTTATTGTTAGTAGTAACTTTTGGTTGGGAGGTGTGTATCTACAGAGGAAATTACAAAGAACATCATTGACATAATATATTTCTATGTTTAACAAGATGTACTTACATTATATTACTTATGTAATCAGAATGTTTTTTTAAAAACGCAAAGGGTTTCTATTTCCCCTGACATTATATATGTAATGGTGTTAATTGATTTTTAAAAAGTAAACTTACTAAGGCAAGTAAGTGCCTATAAGTGTATTTTCCTTACTTTTCTTTTGGGGGGTTGGAGGGATGTGTCACACCTCCCTAGGACTCACTTGTTGAGCTCACAGCCTGGTGAAGACCACAGACATGCAGGATGGTTCCCTGAAACGCTC